TTAATTACAACTAGTGAAACTCATAAGAGAATGCTTATTGATTATTCCTAAACGATTAATAAATAAATTCACATTATCTGATGCAACTTCTTCACTCCGATTAAAAAATATTGTGGAAAGATTGTCAAAATGTGAAATATTCAGCGTGATTGATCTCTGGAATGCTAACCATCAGATATCAATCAACAGAAGTACACTGCTTTTGAAGCAAGCGGTAATATATTACAGATTCCAAGAACTCCATTCGGGGTTGCTAACGGAGTCGCTAGCTAATTCAAAACATTTGAAAGGAAGATCTGTAGAATACTTTCGCTTATTTGGATGATGTTATTATCTGTGGAACGGAGAAAGCACATCATGATTATAATTTTTAACTCTTTCTGGAGGCCACTGAAAAACATAATTCGACTTCAAATGAAGAAAAATTAGCTTCTGATAAAATTAAAATACTTTAGTATCAAAAATAGGACAATCAAACCAGATTCAGTCAGACTCAAGCTGCTCTATTGCGTTCTATTTGTGCACAAGTTGAATCAAGATTTCATAAAAATCAAGGTACTCTCACAAAATCTATTTCTTTATTTGAAAGACGAGATATTGATCTTGACCAATAGCAAATACCTATTGTTGGTTATTATTTCAGATTATCTTTATCTTTCACATATGTAGATATGACTTCTATAACTGTTATTAGATGCTTACAACTCATATACACACTGTCATCATGGAACCTTACTGGTATCACAGAAAATGAAATGATTATTGCAGTCAAATTGTATTGTTTCAAGTCATACAACACCCCCCCCCCTCCAAGAAAATGGTCAACTGACCGATACTTCATGAAAATTCATGAGATTCTTTTGGTTAATATCTGAAAACCATCATTTGCCTCAAGAGTTAATTTTTTTAATTTTCTTGTTTTTTGGTAAGTAGTTTCCTAAATAAAAGAAAACAAGAAAGTCCTTTCCAAATATTGAATTTCCACAAAAATAGTATTCTACCAGTCTCTATGAAATTACGATTGTAAAGAAGCCCATATCCTTTTTCATAAACATATGAAACATGGATTACATAAATTTCAAATTTCATTACTCACTGATGATTTTTTGTCAACATGTACTGTGAATTTTTCAAGGTAGACCTGTATCCAAAATAAAAATTACATCTATGTAATGGAATTGGCTGTTAATGAAAATCTATAAAGTAATTCTAATAACACTTTATTGTCAAATTTTCACTAAACAGTTTAGAAAACAGCAAACAACCGCAACATGTATTAGTAGTAGTAGACTACTACTAATACTACTAGATAGTTATGCATACATAAATAATACATGAATAATTCATATACATATATAATTTCACAGTATGTCATGTATTATAATTTGATATATTCTAATAATAACTCTNACATGAATAATTCATATACGTATATAATTTCACAGTATGTCATGTATTATAATTTGATATATTCTAATAATAACTCTTTGAATACTTTTAAGGAATTTATGTGTTTCGATATACACTATCTAATAAAAATCTAGAAATCTGTTTTTAGTATAAATTCCATCTATGTAGGTCAGAATCTTTTTTACTTTTTATGTAATGGTCAGGTAATGATTTATGTCATTTTCAGATTGGATAGATAGTGGCAACAACAAGAAAGCACTACAGGAATGCATTAAGGTGCTGAAAAAGACTCCAAATCTACATTGTGCAAAAGCATTACAAGCTCTGACATTACATCGAATGGGCAAGGAAAATGAAAGTACTGTCATTTTAGAAACTCTCACAAAAGAAAAACCTAGTGATGATGCTACTTTACAGGCTATGACACTTTGTTATAGAGAAACGCAACAATGTGAGTTGAGTTGCCAAACTTTTTCAAAAGGTTTCAATGTTTTAACCTTTGAATTATTTCAGTGGATAAAATATGTATCCTTTATGAAGCAGCACTGAAAATTGATCCCAGCAACGAAGAATTGCATACCCACTTATTCATGGCATATGTTAGAATTTCTGATTTCAAGGCTCAGCAACAGAGTGCAATGGCTTTGTATAAAACGAAACCAAAAAATCCTTATTATTGCTGGGCTGTTATGAGCATAATACTACAAGCAACAAGAGGTGAAGGTTCCAAAGACCCCCAAAAAAAGAAACTTCTTTTGTGTCTCGCTGAAAGAATGTTCAATAAACTGTTAACTGAGAATAAAATTGATGCTGAACAAGAAGTGCAGTTATATGTGATGATTTTAGAACTACTTGAAAAGTACCAAGAAATATTAGAAGTTTTCGATGGTCCTTTAGGTTCAAAATTACAATGTACAAACCTCCCTCAAAACAAGCTTAAATATCTCAAGAAATTAAATAAATGGAGTGAAGTTAATTTGATTTGCAAACGTATTTTGATCAACAAGTAAGTTTCTTTATATTCAGAATTAACATGGAATAAATTGGAATATGTATATCAAATCAAATTTCAATGAAAGTTTTATAAATTATATCTTTTCCTTCATGTCACCTCAACATTGTTTTGCTTTCGCAGATGATACTACTCTTACAACATCCGGAAAAATCAAGGGTAATTCAGTGCGCTATATAAATCAAATTCAAAAGAATGCTGACATATGGTTCAAAAGAAACAATCTAATGTTAAACGAAAATAAAACTCAACACATCATTTTTACATCAAACACTTGTTGGGTTGAAGGACACAGTGTTAAACTCTTAGGCATACATCTAGATGATAATTTGAACTGGTTAGAGCACATTGAACAACTTAGCATTAAACTGTCGAAATACACATTTCTTATTCGGAAATTGAAAGATATAATCTCTCAACAGGCGCTATTATCAGCTTACTACGCTTTTTTCCATTCTCACATCTCATATGGAACAATTCTCTGGGGAAATAGTACTAACACAAATAGGATATTTATGTTACAAAAAAAGGCTGTAAGGATATTATCTGGGGCTGGTTTCTTAGACTCCTGTTGACCTCATTTCCTTTCGATGAAAATAATGACAGTACCTTCTATTTATCTGTATCAACTTTTGATAGATATTCATAAAAATGAATCAACATTAAACAGAAATTGTAATTTCCACAATCATGAGACTGAAAAAGTCAAGCAGAAACTCTATCGATGTCAACTTACACAATATTCTACTCCCCATGTCAAAAAGTTAAATCAATACTTGTTCAAAAAGTATCTGAAATATCTATTGATTTCAAATTGTGTTTATTTTACTGTCTTATCCAGAGAAACACAAATAAACGGCGAAAGAGTATAATAATAATTCTTGGGTAATATGTTGAATGAAGAAATCGCCAAAAAAAATATATAATTTTTGCTGACAATTTTTTGACACCCCTTATTTTCTCCCTTGATACTGTGATCTAGCAACACAACCAGAAGCACAAGCACCCTTGTGGAATTTTCATATAGTTTGGAAAATAATTCTTTATGTAATATGTAGTTGAACATATTTTGCTTTAAAAAAAAAAGGATCTGAAAAAATAAAAAGTAGTATGTGAAACAATATGGGATAGTAACATTTTTTTTAATAACAAAAGTGAGACCCTGATATGTTGATTTTATTAAATTCTGATATCAGATTAGAAATCAGCAAAAAAGAGAAGCAAATTTAATTTTGCAAGAAACTGATCAACTAAAAATGAGCTAAGTATTTTTTCAAAGAACCCGAGCTTGAATTTTTCAGTAGTGTATTCATTTTTAATTTTTCTTTTTTTCTAGTGTAGACAGATGGGATATATGGAAGGAATATGTTAACTCTGTATTAGAGTTAATGTCAGTAAACAACTCATTTGATAATGGAGACTCTCTTAATGGTTGCGACAACGAAATGGAATCTGTTGATGATACCGCTGATAAAGCTCATGAATTTATCTGTAGAATATTGGAAAATGAAGTAGGACATGGTAAGTTGATTATTGAATTAACTAATTTCAAGTAATTGTTATTAATTTTCTCTATGTACATATTGGAATGTAATTAGATTTGAGAGAAGCTATCTATGAGACAGATATTCAATTCAATAGGACACCTTTTCTATTCATGAATAAATTCGACTTTTTTGAGGTTAACTCCATTGTAATTTCATAATAAATACTCAGAGGCTAGGTCTATAATATTAGATCTAATAATCAACACCATTGTAGAGTAGTTATGCATACATAAATAATACATGAATAATTTTCTGGACTACTTCGACAGTTCTCATACGGTTTGCAAACTGGATTTCGTCTTCGCTAGAACATGCGACTATTAGTTCCAATCCTGGATTTGCTTTGCTAGAACGCCTATTTTCGTATGCGCATGCTTCGTACGATTCCGTATCGTTTGAAATCGCTGCTAGAACAAACCTAATATTAGATCTAATAATCAACACCATTGTAGAGAAGAAACCATCAAACTATTTCCTTTTAAATATTACTGCAGTTTTTATTACTGCAGTTTTTTTCCAACACCAACCGTTATTTTATCACTTCAACACGTGTTTCAATCACCAAGTGATCATCTTCAAGAGGAAGATCTTCCTCTTGACTGTGATGATATAAGCCCGATGTTGCAAATGACTCATTTGGTAATTTCGGATTCATTTTCACAATTGTTGTAGTAATCTCAATCAGGAATGTTTGACTCTTCACCAGATCTGGAACAACCCTGGTTAATTATCCCTGTATTAGGTAATTTCTACTCAAAATAATTGAAAATTGTTTATATCCCCATAATCAATAGGGTTGAAGTGAATGAAAATCAAAAGAAAATGTGTTCGGAACATTAAATCTGTTTTTCCGTTAACCAGCTATTGCCCCCCTACAAACGACAACTTTCAAAAGTCGAAACTTGTGCCAGCTAAAGACTAATGAGGTCTCACCTATTAACGTGTGATTCCTGTCACGAAAAAGGCTAAATTAATTGAAAACAATTCGAAGACAAGCAACATCTTAATGGGTAGACATCCTGAAGAATCTAAGGAGTAGATTTCAGAAAGTGAAAATATCAATAAAATCTGAAAATAAAATATAAACTCGAATTTTAAATTCTAATTCATCATTAGTTTACCTCATGTCTTTTGTTTCTCCAATATCACAAGTCATAGGAACATGAAAATAGTTGAAATATTATAATAACAATTATATGAAATTAGTTAGTGCATGTGAAAACTTGTTTTGTAAAATATTGTCGAATGACAACAAACTCCAATCACAATTATATTATGTTAGTCTCTTGATTGCAATTGATAGTTTTGATTGGGATAAATGAATACTGAAACACAATAACAAGATTATAGTCATAAGAAATTTGATAAGATAGTTCAGGATTAAATTCTTTGGCAAAAATTGACTATAAACATCTAATTCTCATGTCCAATATAATATAACTTGGTTTATTTGGAAATTGATTCATAATTATTTACAGATTTCCTGTTGCGAGGTGCCTACCTAGCGCGATTTGAACTGTGTTCAAAATTGATGGAGAAGAAACTGAGTACTACGGAGCTTCTTGGTGAAACTATTGAGTTGTTTATAGAATATTTTAGAAAGTTTGGTCACAAACTTTGTTGTGTCTCAGATTTGAGAATATACTTGAATCTTTTGAATGCTGAAATGAAAAGTGAACTATCTACTAGGCTGATCAAAGATGTTGGAATAAGTTCAACAAGTGTGCCACAAACGGTAAGATGAATTCTAGAATATTTTACAATCTCGAAAGGAATTTCAAAGTAAGTTTGGAAAAAAAAACTTCATAAAATCTTGTTTTTATTTATTAATGGAAATAATTTTGGATATATTGAATATACATTTGTACTTTGGATAATCCTTCGTTGTGTCAATCACAAAATTAATCTGAAAATTGTTTGTTCATAAATTTTTTTCAATTCATTGCTACTAAGGCATGATTTTTGCAGGAGCATCAGATGCAGCGTCACATATGTGCTCTTCAACTTTCCCGTTTATGTGGTGGACACAAAAATCTGTCTGTTGATCATATGAAAGCTCTGGTGACTGCCTTTACGTTGCACTATCAGCATGGTTACCAGACTTATGGCAAAAACTTACTCACCACTGATCTAGGTCCTTCGGATCTTTATACCTTAATGGCGGCTCATATTCTTTATGACTTGGCACAAATTGAAAAAAAGGCTGATTCTATTATTGTAGCACTCATGTTATTGGAAAATTTGTTGAAGAATTCACCTAACAATTTTCATGCTAAACTGTTGGCAGTTAGACTCTACCATTCTTTGGGTAAGTTGATATTTCTTCTTGTAAAATTGTAAAAAAATATAGTCATCCAAAAGTTCAATCAAACTCTAGCAGGAATAATATTCAAATCATCACCAGAACATCTGTTTAAATCTGTTTAAATCTGTTTTTCCGTTAATCAGCTGTCGCCCCCATACGAACGACAATCTCAGAAGTTGAGAAACTTGTGCGGGCTAAGGACTAACGAGGTGTTACCTTTTAACGTGTGATTCCTAACACGGTTGCAGAATCATTCCAGCTTCAACCAGATAAATTCTCTCGAGAAAATTATCTGGTCGAGGAGGGAATCGAACCCATGGTCTTCCGATCGTGAGTCGGGAGGACTACCACCGCGCCCAATTCCACAACAAATAAAGAGACGGTGGGACAAAAATAAAGAAATCATGTAACTCATGGAATATAAAAACAACAGAAACAATATAAAACAATTACCTATATAACTAATGAACCATTTTTTAAAATTTTAATTAAAAGTTGATATATTTTGTTGTTGGTATTTTATTGTATAAATGTAAGTTGAGTGAATTTCGAGCTGATAGATCCAGTCTATAAAATTGAGGCCTCAGGTGTGCACCTCTTCGAGTAGGGTAATTATGGAAGTTAGCATTTGTAAGGTACTTAGTATTATTTTTGTGAATCTCTAAAATGTTATAGAGTATAAAAATACATGGCAAGGGTAGAATTTTGAGTTTTTGAAATAGAGGACGACAGTGTTCACTGTAAGAAATATTGGCTATGATCCGGATTGCTTTTTTTTTCATACTAAAAGCTTCAATTGCATGTGAAGACTGACCCCATAAAAGTGTGCCACATGTTAGGTGGTGGTTAAAAAGAGAATAGAATGTCTGTAATACCATACTTTGACTGTCTTAGTAGGAACAGTTGTGTAGAAATTTTTTTACGCAGACCAACATGTGCTTCCCAATTTAACATGTCATCAAATTTAAACTTTAATAGTCTTGTACTGATTCACGAATATCAGAATGTGAAATAAATTTCAAGGCAAATGTTTGATATTGATGGAAGCGGAATGAATGAAAAAGTCGAATTCTAGTTCACACAATTTTATGTTATTCTAATCAGTCTTGGTATATATCATAGTTTAATACATAATTCAAATCCCTTATAAAAGATTACACCCTTCGATGATGCATGGAAATGTTTGTTTTTGTAATGATGATTTTTATTTTGAATAGTATAAGCAAATTGGATAATATTTGATTTAGGTATCAGTTTAATTCAATCTCCTTTATGTTATTGGTTCAAAACTATAAATTTCATATTGTTTTGATTTATGATTTCAGGCGGTGGTTCCTGTGCTCAGGAAATGTATTGTAGTCTGGATATCAAACATTTACAATTAGATTCCTTAGGCTTTATCCATTGTGCAAGGTTACCAACTACAGGGTTGTTTACTTTATGTACAAATCTGTTTGATACTACTTTGAAATTCTTCTCTTCCAATTATAAGGATGTAAGTATTGAATACCAAGAAACTTTACAAATATGGACAACGTAACATTCTACTGTAAATAATTTACCATCATTTCAGAATAAAATGAAATTTTGTAGTTATTAACACCTTTTAGATACCAGTAATAAATTGACGCCATTACAAAAAATTTATTTCATGAGGTAGGTATTACATTTTATATTTGCTCAAATCCATTTCTTTCAAACACAAAACTGATTGTTTACATTATTATTATTATATTATGTGTGTCTGTACAAGTCAATATTGTATATAAACTGGTAGTTTCCGTTACTTTCACCTAAATCCCCTTTAAAATAAAGGGGATATCTGTCAAAAATAAGCAAAACTTTAATTTTATCCTAGTTGCATAAAATTTGGCATATGGATATAAAATTGCCGTAGACACAACTTTTTCAAGTAACTCTTTGTTAAATTTGATCTAGAAATGCACTTTTTCAATTTTTTTCAAAAAAAAAGTTGAATTTGACAAACACTGAACGTCAGTGGGTCGCAGTTAGCCGCATCATTTCAAGTTAAATTTAAAGCACAAACAAGGGCCGAAGTTAAACTTCATTGAAACTTTTTGAAAAAAAAGTTTCCCATATGGTGCACACTTTAATGGTGACACTGTATATATAATGTAAACAATCAGTTTTGTGTTTCGAAGAACATGTTTTTTCGTTAACCAGCTGTCACACCCCTATAAACGACAACCTTGAGAAGTCGAAACTTGTGCGAGCTAAGGACTAACAAGGTCTTACCTTTTAACGTGTGATTCCTAACACGTGTTGGACGATAGAAAGTGAAAATCGATGGTTCAGTCTGCGGCTTGAACTACAGATCAACATGGCGGTCAATTTGAGTGAGTGAACAAAGCACCCACGTCGAACCGACCGGCTACCGAACGACCACAAATTACTGATATATCCATTACGTTTAATTTTGTTCTCTCATATAAAAGATTGTGACCTATAAATGAATTTCATATTTGCATCTATTTTTGTTTTCTAGAATATTCTAACATGTATAGTTTTTTGGAGTTGATGTATTGATGATACACAAAATCAAAAGTTTTGACTGTTAATTATGAGAAAAATATTGTGTTGGTTTTCAGCACCATTTTATATATTTAATAGTGAATTTTTATCTAAATATATAGTTGGGACAATGAAAGAAAGCACATGTGTCATTAATATAACATACTTATAGCATCCTTTTTTTTTCTACAAGTAAAAACAGAAAACATAACAGTTGTAGTTGTTATCGATCAAAAATCACAATGTGGGGTTTTCACTATTGATTTAAAAAAAATTGAAGCAATTCTTCATTAGGTTATTCGGAGCAGTGATCATATCATTTCGTTTTCATAGGTTTGTGTCAGATTATGGGCTTATATTGGATTCACAAATTGATGACACATGTGGATTCTTTCATAGTCCCAACAGTAGATCTGAAAATTCAGTTTTTTCACTGTGTTTTATCAATTGAAATCGAGGGATGTGACCTCTCCCATGCCCCCTCCCCCCCTCCCCGGGATTGAGTGCCCTGAGATAGAATCTTTCCCACACGATCACTGTGTGCAGAAGATATAATCTCGTTCATCCACCCCCACTCATTTCTGAGTGGACCTAAACCTGCTGAAGGGCACTTCATCGAGATTGACATCTGACCTCCTGCGGTTGAAAGTCAGCCTAGCCTTTAGGTGCTTTCACTCTCGTGGTCTGTTGATTTTGATTTGTCATGATTTTACTGTATGTAATGTTTGCATGGGGGTTCCCCTTAACCTTAACTGAGACAAGTGTCTTTAGGTCGCGCACTAAGTGTGTGTATGTATCTGAAAGAAAATGTGTATTGTTGATCTGTTTATGAGGTTTTTATACTTACCGGCTTCATGTGTTTATCCCTTTCACGAAATCTGGGCTGATGAGACCTCAAAGTTAAAAGATATAAAAATAGTACCTACTCGTAATTTGTGTTTTTGATATCTCTTTATAATTGAATGAACTATGGGTTATGGTTATAACTATTGGGTTATAACTATTGGAAATTAATTTCGATAACTCTAAATTATACCCTTCGCAAATTTTTTTCCAATTGTCATTTTGATACAGCTTTCACATTAAAAAAACTGAGAAGTCTTGAAACAGTTGCATTTTTCAGAGCTCAGACCACTTAACATTCTCGTATAAGTTTGGATCATTCATAAAATTAGACGAGTTCATGGACTTCAGGGAAAGAATGAATAATAGTTTGCATTATAACACCGTAGCTGTAGATAGGATCATGTTAAATTTAGTGGAATGCATGTCTCTGGAAACTTTGTACTCCCTAATCATATCACCAGAAGACAATAACATAGAATGTGATCTATTAAGGTAAGAACCACAATTTTTTTTCCTTACAAAGAGAATATGAAAAATATTGATAAATTTGAAATTGTCATATTACAAATACAAATCAAAATTGCGGAATAAGAATTATTTTGATGTTAAACTGATATATGCCCATACATGCTATATTAGCAGTTTTTAATTTGTTATCTGTAGAAAATGGTTGCCTTACTTAGCGTTGATATTTATAAAAACGATAAATGAACTTTTGCCAAAATATATTAATAATCACCCAACATACAATACAAGGAAAAATTACAACATTCGCATTTTTAGGCAAAATACCACAAAATACTTATTTTGTAATTGTTTTCTTGACTAAATATTTTACCCAATACTGTTAAGTACGGAAGCGTAGAAGGGCCACATATTTTTATCATTTGTTTTTTGGATACTAGAAATTACGACTTTAAATTAGAAATTACGACTTAAAACTCGAAATTACGACTTTAAACTCGAAATTACGACTTTGAACTCGAAATTATGGCTTTAAACTCGAAATTATGGCTTTAAACTCGAAATTATGGCTTTAAACTCGAAATTATGGCTTTAAACTCAAAATTACGACGTTAAACTCGAAATTACGACTTTGAACTCGAAATTATAACTTTGAAAGGCTAAATTTCAATTCGAATCTCGTAATTTCCAGTTTATTCTCGTAATTTCCAGTTTATTCTCGTAATTTCCAGTTTATTCTCGTAATTTCCAATTTATTCTCGTAATTTCCAGTTTATTCTCGTAGTTTCCAGTTTATTCTCGTAATTTTTGTGGTAAAGTCGTAATTTCGAGATTGAAGTCGTAATTTCGAGATTGAAGTAGTAATTTTCAGTTTGAAGTCGCAATTTCGAGATCACAATAGTAATTACGAGTTTAAAGACATAATTTAGAGATTGAAGTCGTAATTTTGATGACAATTTCTCTCACGAAGACGCCATCTATGGAATCGACACAGAACTCAATCTTTGAATATCAAATACGAAAAAGGCTTTGTGAGGCGATTAGTTGCAAAGTTAAGCTTAGACATCGCTTGACGACTAGATTCGTCCACTGTCTTTCACTGTAGCTTTCACTGCAAAGCAACTAGTTATGTTTTCTGAGTAATCTCAGTTGTCCTACAAAGTTATTGTAGAATTTGAAATTAATATATTACACTCACGATAAGTTTGCTCTGATGTCTAATCTAGTGAAAAAGTATGACCAACTGACAAATACAAGGTCCGAATAATTTTTTTGAAGAGGTTAAATAATGGGTAAGTTGGTTAAAAAAAACTGTTTTTCTGTTAACCAGCTGTCGCACCCCTACGAACGACAACCCTCAGAAGTCGAAACTTGTGGGAGTTAAGGATTAACGGGTTACTCTGTGTATTTGTCATTAGTGTCAGTTATATGTAGTGTCATTAGTAGTTGATGTTTGTATTACATTCCAGTTTTGTTTTATTTCACGATCTCAGTGTATATATATCTTGGGACCCCGAAAGAATAGCAGTTAACCCCGAAGACTGGAATGAAACTAAACAATTATTTGAACAAGATAAATGTTTTGTGAAACTTCGAACGTTTATATTATTTTCTATGGCTAATGCTGTTGAGATTGTTAAATCGTTCGACGGAACGAGACAAAAACATGTGGAATCCCTTAAAACAGTACTTGAGGAATGGAAAATATTTCATGATAAAACAGATTCTGCTAAGTTTGAGCCAATTCAGCAGGTAAATGAAGTGTGTTTTGCCACATTTGCATTTTAGCTGTCTCTATTGAAACATTAATTTTCAAATGGCTTTATATTTTCAGGGACTTTTACCATTACCCCTACCTTCACGACTGCATGGTGCTTTAGAAGCACCATATTTTTCTGTATTCAAATCATTTTTCGAGTTTTTCTTGAGTTTGATATCTGATGATTTGGAATATACTAAATGTTGTACAAAATCCGTAGAAAACGAACTGAGCAACCTGACTGAATTTTTGAGGGAATCAACTCTAAGGAGAAGTAACGATTTCTTAGATAAACGAAAATCTATGGAACTTGCCGTAAATTGTGTCGAGGTAAGTAATACATTAATCTGTCATATTGAATGAAGGACATTTATAAGAATATAAATGTTGTGGAGGTGATTTATGACGGATAAAGAATATGTGAGAACATCATTATCAAAATTTTCATTTGTAATCAGGACAAATAATCAATATACATGAATCAGAATGATATATCTGTTCAATTGCTTTTTATTGGGGTCTTCTGAATAAAAATAGATAGGAATTTTCATAATGACGGCATACAAAGACACATATAAGAAAATAATTATGTTATAATTTTATTATTCCAAGATTTTGTCATTATGAACAAGTCTTTGTAATTTGTCACTCATTGACATTAACTTCTTCTTATCAAATTTTTCATCAAGACATAATGACATACTCTTCTTACTGGAATGACTTTCATTCCTACCAATTTACAAATTAGAACAAATATTCATTAAAAAAGATGTATTCAATCAATTCTGTTCGGCCATTCAGTGAATTTTCAGAATTTTTAATTCTATTCATTTCCAAGCTCTCAAAAAATAGAGTTGTTTTTCAAATGTAACACTCTACCAAATGTAGAATTGGTCTTAACATTCAAGAAACTGTTGCTATACCTACTCTTTTATTCTTTTGGAAAAGGGCCTCCCTGTTCGACCAATGAAAGTTTTGGGAAAGAACCAAAAATCAACTATATACTCCTGATATATGCAACACTGAAGTTTTATCTTTATTTTTCTTAATAAATTTGCTCAAATTACAATTTGTTCTGAAAGCCATATCCAAGTTTTTTTTTTTTCAAAGAGTAAGTAATATTGGTGGGTTCACCAAAGTATGTGAAAAGTCCTATGATGCCTACTACTGTTTCTTGAATGGTACCTGGTGAATGGCTTGTTTCCGTAGTTTTTAATGAAATGGTTTTTATTAAGCTTGTACTGTTTGACCAATAAAAGTTTTGGACAAGAACCAAAAATCAACTTATATATTCCTGATATATGAGACACTGAAGTTTTATCTTTATTGTTCTTAATAAATTTGCTCAAATTAGCGGATAACATATTTTTTCACAACTACATCAATATGGGTATCACATGACAAAGGCTTTACTAGTAGAATAATATTACACTTAGAAATAGACTAGTACTATAGTACTACACTATGAAAAGATGCAAATCCAACTTAATCTATACAAAGAACTTTGTCAACTAAGAATCGGGATAGAAGCATGAACCTCCCACCCAAGTCAAGATTTTGTATCGTGTCGAGTGTTGTGAGTAAGTTGTGAGCAATACACCACCCAAGTTAAGGTAAAAGGTTAAAACGGTCCGAGAACTGTATGGCATTAGAGTGTTGAGTAAAAAAAATATGTTGAACGGTTTTATTGAAAATTAAAAGGTAATAATGATGTAGATAAAGTACTAAAAACTAAAAAATAATTCGGAAGGTCCTAGGTAACAGTCGTCACACCACTCTCATCAGCAATTTACGGTATTGGTCAAGTAAAAAAAAATTAAATCGTTGGGCGTAGAATTTACATATTTACTCAGCAATTGTATGGCGAAACACGTGTTGCATTTTTGTAAAACTGTTTAGTGAAAATCCCACGATAAAGTGTTTTTTGAATACCTTATGGATTTTCATCAAGTATCGGCCAATTTCATCATATATATTTCCTCAGGTTTTTTTATCTGATCAATACCATAGATTGCTGAGGAGAGTGGTGTTATGACTGCTACCTAAGACCTTCCGAATTATATACAATCACAAAATATAAATATCAAATATTCTAAAACTTATCGTCTAAAAAACATGCAATACAAATAAATACACCTATATTTTATGCAAATAGAACTAATTGAAAAAATACTCAAAATATTTTTTTAAATATTCCTGTGGTCTATTGACAAGAACATTTTTTACAGTCCTTCTAAAGAACTCAGACGGGTTCACAGACCTTTATCCACTGGCAGATGGTTGTATATTTTAACCTCATTGTAAAACACTGAATGTTTATCTAGAATTGATGTGAGGATTGGGAGTCGTGACCTAAACTCACTTTTTCAAATTTTGTTTTGTTCACGAAATAAACTGTTTTTAACATGAACAGTGCAACAACAGTTATTGGAAGCAAAGAGTTCTCTGAAGTCTTTGCTGGGTTCAACGTTTGAGAGGTATTGGTATTGCAGCACTTTTTAGTAGTACCAATACAGAGGACAAAATAGTTGGACTACATGCCAAAATGGTATATTATATCGAAGTAGGCAGTTTTCGCTAAACTAAAATTCATCTCCTCAGAAACTACTCTTATCCCATAATATTGAGATGTTTAATGTGATCATCAAATTTCAACTTATTTTCAATGAATATACGCAGGAATTTTGTGTTTATTTCATTTTGCAAGATCTCATTGTCCACAGGAAGATCATCAAGCATGTATTATTTGAATGATTTTACGTTATTTTTTTGTCATATTCGTTAATAGCAAATTAATGTCACAACTGTTAATAATTTCATCCAAGTTGAATAATATTATTTTATACAGTTCAATTTAGTTTTTCACTTTCCATGAATTAGGAGTTTCATCAGTGTGAAGCTACTGGATGTCAATTTTTGTCGAATCATTTACAAATTGGGGCCTAATAAGGTACTCCGTGGCACACCAGTTTCAGTTGCTCTCCTCTCTGAGATTACTGTTGTACTGATTATTTTATTTTGTCTTGAAAGTACGATTAATATAATTTGAAAGGTTTTCCTCTGCACTCGTACCAGTAAAGTTTTCTAAGCAATATGTCACAGTTAATGCAATCAAAGACCTTAAGAAGATTTAAAACAAGTTACAGTTCAGTACACTTTTAGTTGAAATCTCACAATAGGGTCGTATTTTTTCATTAATAACAGTTCTTATAAATGTTGGGCATTATCACTTTGTTCTAGTATTTGGTACTACCACTAAAGATTGTTTACTTTTTCAGATTGTTAGCGTAACATCCCTCATATGTGTTTTATGTGGCGAGTTGGTGAAACCCGTACAAGCAAAAAAAGGAAAGAGAAAGTCTATTGATAGTAAGAGTAAGGAGCAAATAAATACGGTGGCGGACAAACTGAAGAAAGAAATGAACGTTTTTTGTGATATTTTACAAGACTGGGTCGATTCAAGTCCAGTAGGAGAAGTCAACAATAAATTTGAAAGTCTAAATTTAAATCCGCATGATAATATTGTTGATAAAATTCTTCAAAGTTATAGTATTGCCAATAAAGAAATGCAACTTATTTTAAAAACTAAAATAAAACTTCTCACTTAATTTGAATGGCTGGTTTGATTGAAGTTGTTTTTATTGATCTGTTTGTATGTATTGTAAAATAAAATGATGATTTTTAAAAATTGTCATTATTCGATCTAATGTTATGAAATATTTTTAATTCATTGCCAAAAAGTTAAATTTTGATAAACCCGTCGATAGTTATGAGTAACATAAAAATTATTAAAAAAATTGTACCATACCTAATAAATTATCAAAAACATATCACAACTGTTGTTTTCAGATCTTGTAAACCATTTCATTGAATATTGATTTTGAAAGTGAATGTTCAAATTAATTAACATGAAATATTTGAAAGTTGCATCATATTATTAATATTCATTTATCCTTGAATATATTAACAATGTATGGGACATGTTAGCAGACAATAAAATCGAGTAAAATATAATGTATAAAATGAAATTAAAAAAATTTAAAATCGTAATAATATTGGTTGGTTTGAAAAGTTGTCCAAAATTGACACTGTTCAAACACCTGAACTGCAACACTCTGAAATAGACATCCTTTCCTGCAGACGCCAACTTGGTTGGTTGGTGACACGCGCGTCGTGAATAGTGTTGCCAGTTTTGGTGTTTGGGGAAAAATGTTTGTTTTGGATTTATTCTATGCCAGAGGTTTCAGTTTTACCTTAAATAATAAAGTTGTCATTGAACTATAGCTGCAGGGACCCATTTAGTCTAGAGGTAAATTCACTTTAGTAAAAAAAAATCAAGCTAAAATCTGTTTTCCCGTTAATCAGCTGTCGCCCCCATACGAACGACAACTCTTAGAAGTTGAGAAACTTGTGCAAGCTAAGGACTAACGAGGTCATATCTTTTTACTTGTGATTCCTAACACGGTTGCAGATTCATCCCAGCTTCAACCATTTAAATTATATCGCGAAAAATATCTGGTCGAGGCGGGAATCGAACCCACGGCCTTCCGATCGTGAGTCGGGCGCACTGCCACTGCGGCCAATTCCAGCTTCGGAACAAAAGCAGTGTTTTAACTACTAATACTCATATGTTTATAGTATTCTGGACGAGGGACGAGTTATTAGTAAAGTCCATTATACATTTTCAAATATATAAAAGTGTAAAAAAACTAATTAATACAGTTTATTGTAAACTTTCACTATAAAGGGTTTTATAAAAACGGCGACACGTGTTTCGCTATACAATAGCTTCTTCAAGCTATTCTATGCTTGAGGAACCTATTTTATAGCGAAATATGTGTATACGTTATAAAACCCTTTATAGTGAAAATCATGCAATAAACTGTATTAATTAGTTTTTAATATGGATTTTCATCAAGTATCGGCCAGTTCTATTCAATTATATAAAAGTGTTTTGGGTACAGGGTGACTAAGAGAACTGCGACATTAGAGATTGCAAAAAGAATAAGTAAAAAAATTTGATAGTGTGAGAATGACATTAAGTACAGTTCAGCCAAAATAGTTTCATTTTCCAAACACTTTAAGGAATACCGAATAGGTATTCCTGAAGTCAAACTTTGTTATTTTTAAAGAAATACTCTACATTTCATTATAAACTCAGATTCTAGGTCATGTGAAGGAAATTCAAATAAACATATTTTCAAAAATTGAATTCGTGTTTTAACAAAATTATGTCCTCCGATTGCAAGACTTGTAATGAACCTGAAAATTAAATTTTCACATGTTGCTGTTCCTATGGAGTCACGCTTTGAGCTATGGAAGGCATATCGTATCCTTTCTGCACAATCCTCTTTTGTCATTGAAGGAACTAGATTTTTTTATGATTACCCAAATAAAAAAGAAGGACGACCATGGACAGATCTGGTGATTGACGTAGCAAAAAATTGGTTTATTATTTGCCATATAGCTATCCCCTAACAGTATCGTTCATTTTGTAAGTGATAAAATGACCAGAACTGTCACATATATGTCTTGTGAAATATATACATAGTGTTTCCCTATAATGCAGGAAGTCATTTTCAATTCGATAAAAACTGAAAAAATATTCTGATTTGCTCTCTTCTTAAAAGTGTAAATAAAATATCGAATTGTATTTTTTCATTTTGTGGTTAGTAATTATCAATATCTATTATAGTGTTTGATTCTCAGTTCTTCATTTTAAGTTTTCTGCCTCAATTCCTCTTTACTTTGTTCATTTTTTCTTTCATCAAGTTTTGAAGATTCCAGTAGTTCATTGTTACTTATTTCTTTTGTCATTATTTTTGATGAATTTCGTTGTACTAATTCTTGAAGATGAAGTTTTTATTCTAAGCATTTTTAATCTTCGGAATTCCAATAAAATGAGATTTTTTGAAGAAACATTGAGCGAGTTTGGGAAACTACCCTTCCCAAAGTTTCAAAAGGTGATCCAGCAGTTGAATTCACACCAACAGTCCCACTAAGCTGCGGTATGTGGATTGAATTTCCATAAAATTTGATGCACATCACTATATTCGAAAAAATGTTTCTAGTCTATACACCCAAACGCCTTTTCAGTTCCTACAATGTTTATGTCATTGTCACTATATACAACTGACGTTTTTCTCTTCCACTAATGAACTTATGGAGCCCTTGCATATAGTCCTCAATGTGACATTTTAGGATTAATCCAATAACAAGATGACACGATGGCAAAATTATAGGCTGGAGAGAATAATGAATATTATGACATTCAATTTTTTTCAACCTTAATAAACTGCCATTGTATGGTTGTTATCATCAGTATCATGGAAAACCTTTTACTGAACCAACTTGACATCTACTTCCTCTACGTTTTTTATTTCTGCCAAAGTCAGTTTATCACCCTATATTTTCTGTCTACTGTGCTAATTATGAATGAATCTTCTGAACCAACCAATAAGATTCACGATCTGCTTGTATTTTCAAAAGTATCGATAGTACCAGAATATTTTTCTTTAGAATAGACTGATGATATAACCTTTTCTCTCTCCAATTATTGAATCCTCTTCCACTTGAAAATTTTGAGAAGTCTATTCACTTTTTGGATCAATAACTAAATGGACCCTCTAACGACTTGAATTTAGTAGGTGGTTTGGGGTGCAATCTCTGAGAGGTAAATCTGCAGGAATCATTTGTCCAGGAACAAAATACCAATCTTCTATTCACGTTCATAATTTTATTTCATGTTCTGTTTTCATACAAATGGTTTTCATCAATCTTCCTGTCTGATCTAAGATAAAACTGTACTTGAGTCAGACCAACAGAACATAGGTACTATGACCTTTGTTCAAGAGTTTCCAAAACTGAAGATATAAACCTAGCTTCAATACTTGCCGCGGTCAATTGTAACCTGAGTATCGATACTTCCTTGATATAAGAAACCCTGGACTTGGCTTGAATGAGTTAAATATAAGAAATACCATTTTTTGTTTGGAGAACAAAGCGTCTGCAAACATGTTTTTACTCCAGGTATCCGGATTCAAGTAATTCGTTTTTGATAGACGTCGAGGAAATTTGAGTTGCGATGAAATGTTCAAACCTTTGATCCAATCCATGAATACATTTTCAACATCTTCTGAAATAGCCACATCCCAGCTAATATTCAAAATCCAGATTTTTTGTAAAATGAGTTTCAGAAATAGTGAAATAGGGCTTGAGAATCTTTTTTCTGAAGTTACCGAACCATTTTAAATTTTTCATCAAATAGACGATTCCATTTCATCCCCAAGATAGTTGACACGACGGCAGGACAAAAATATTCCACATCGAAAATTGTATTTTTCCATGCGAGTACATCAAATTTTGCCTCTTTGATGGTATCATCGATTGAACGATGAATTGAGTGGTTCTATGAAATCAACGTTGTGAATACTGTTGTCAACATAAAAATTTTAGAATAGTTTCGATAAGGCAGATTGAGAATATCCGGATTTTCCTGATTGAGCCTCATCGAATTTCAATCCAGATTATCATTAATGAAGTGTAAAGGTCATACTTGGGAAAAAACAAGAAGTATTATATGGAGAAGAAGTTGTAAACATTGTGTTTCAATATAAGAGCATTTCCCACGAGTTTTCCGAAAAATTAATTTCAACGTCTCTCACTGAGGTTGTAAATGATAACGTTGCGTTATTATGCAATTAAACTCATCACCTACATTGAGAACTTTTTTCTATAATAATGTTTTTATCACTTTTTGAAAGCCCTGCTATCTACTTGACAAAGTGGACAATTGATAGAACGGATAAGAAACAAAGGTTTCGGACATAACATTTTTATTATGGAATATAATTACGAGCATTATTTCAATAAATCATCATAACTTTTGAACAATTGAATAACAAAAAAAATTTAGTAGTAATTTGCTTTTATATGCATATTTTATTTTTATACGCATATTCTTCCTTTAATATTCTTCAAAGAAATTTTACAAAAGAATAAAGGATATGGCAGTTTTTGTTAAAATTAAATAATACAAAAAATATACAAGAATAACTGGCATTCTACGAACATCTTAAATAAATTAAATCTGCAGTATTATCATGTATCACACTTTTTACCTTAATATGTACAATATAAAAAATTTACAGCAGTGAGTTTTTAACAGTTTACTTCATCTAATCCAAATTTTCATATTTGGAAATGTACCCTTTTAGTTTGAATTACTGAGCAAATATTCTCTGTCTAACTTTCTCAATTCCTTCAATGATTTGGTCAACGTTCTCTGGATCCATTCTACATCAGGTGCGACGTAACCTCCTATTTGTCCTTCTTGCTTGCATCCAGTGTCCCAAGAGAATATACCGGAAAGAGAATATTGTCCTTGATCATTGGCACATGCTAGTGCGCTTCCATAGTCAACCTGAAAAACAATTAAAAATTGAGTTGAATAATATATTTGCACTTATGTTCCATTCGGAATGTTTCTTTCAGTATGAAGAATTGATACTATCACACTAACTGATTTCAAGGTGATGCTTCAGGAGTCTTTGTGCTAATCTGCTAAAAAATTCTACTGAAATCCGTTTTTTCGTTAACCAGCTGTCATCCCTACGGACGACAATCATCATAAGTGTGTGAGCTAAGGATTATCGAGGTGTTACCTTTTAACGTGCGATTCCGAGCACAGAATGTGATAATTCATATTGCAATAATTTCAGCAGCATATTACCAAAATTCATTAAAATATTCACTGCAAGGAAAGTTTAGTACTAAAAATTTCGTATCAAGACATTCTTTCTTATTAGACTAGTAGTATCTTGCTCTCATGTTCAACCTGAGCACTTCAATGTTAACCTTCTCTGTTAACATGCTGTTCTGTTCATGAGAGTGATTATTGGAATAAATGAGTGAAAAAAAGGGAATGTATGGAAAATATTAAATTTAGATGTATCTAGCTAGGTACATGTTTGAGACTCCTGACTTCTTCTTCCATCACCTGGAAATGGGTCTAGTAGTAATCTGTTACTTTTCTCTAATGAAATGTTTCATACAGATTTGTTACACCATCTCACCTTGCACTGGTCGATGTCAGAATATCCACAAAGAGTATTTGAACTATAGTGTTGTACAGAATCTTGGAATCTTTCACTCAGAGTTTGCTGACATTGTTGAGGGTCCATGATTTTAACGTCAATATGATGCATTATGGCTCCTTTTGCATGCACTAAAAGCAAAACATTCCATATTTATTAACAAAATCTTGCTTAGTGCTGTACTCGGTGAAGACAGAGAAAGTCCGGAAAACTCTAAAGAAACTTAACATATACTTACATTGTAAGATTCTTTTTCCCCATCCAGTAACTTTGCAATTGGCTGTCGAAACCGTATTTGGTTCTGGCAGACATATTGTACCAACGTTTTTGGTTACCCTCAACTTCTCAGTCAACTTTAACACAGCCATGTCGTTCTGATACGAACCAAATTTGTAATCTGGATGCCTGATGATAGCAGCTACCTTGACTATTTGGAATGGTAAAGGTTCCTCATCAATTCCCAACTTCCACTCGCCACCCTTGATTAGGACATCTGATGTTTGGAGGCTAAAAAATTCAAGTCGAGTCATATTTAAAAAGTGTTTGGTTTGACACAAGTTGAGTTTCAATTTCTAGTTAGATATTTTTTCATCAAAATTCAAATAATCTGGATGATTATAGCCCTATCTATATACGATAGGGTGCGCAAAGAAAGGTATCAGAACATGCTATTCACAAATATGTTGTTTTTACCCTTCGACACAGTGAGCAGCAGTCAAAACAGCATCCCTTCCAATTATAGCTCCACCACAGAGCAAACTACGGTTCGAATCACGCAAAATCATGGCTTGCCAAGGATATTCTGCAAAATTAGCATCTAAAGGTCCTGACCCGGGAGGTTTAGTATTCTAGAACAAAAACAACCATTGAAAAGGGATAATACTTGATCTTCTTGATCTGCTAGTTCGAACAATGGTCAGCTAGAAACTCAATAGTGTGTAGGATACACTTACCAAATGTCTTTCTCCGCAAGTTGGTTGACTAGATTGTGTATTTTGCTCATATGCCGAGTTTCTGGCTGGTCTTCTAACCCTTCTGGTACTGTTTGACGCTCTTACTAGTCTATTACTACCAAGTTCGTGTTGACCGTAGAAGTTGTCTTCCTTATACTGCCCATCGTCGAAACCATCAACCAAATTCGCAGAAGGCCACGGATCCTTGTAGTTGGGATCTCGGCAACACTTACCAGTTATACCGCTCTCCAAATCTTTGCAAACCTAAGAAAATTTAAATTAATTTGAGTGATTTTTCAATTTATTTCATCTACCTAGCTCCAGAGTATTTAATAATTCGCACTAGTATTTCTAAAATGCCACAACTCAAAAATCGGTATATTTGAGTTGAGACTATGAAAAAATTGTTAAATATTTCTGTATCAAGTTGTATTAACTGTATCAAGTTGTATTAACATCCAAACTGTATCAACTTGATATAGTTCAGATGATACTGTATCAACTTGATACAGTTTATATGATCGATAAAGAAATATTTATCGATTTTTTTCATATTGATTTTTGAGTTGTGTCCCTTTAGAAATACTAGTGCGAATTGTATTTTGCGAATCTTGTTACTAATTACCTTGATCATTTTCAAACCATCAATATTCTCAGTAATCACAGAAAGTTTTGATACTGATTATCTATCTGGTACATTGTGATCAGGTTTATCAATCTAATTTTGTCTCCAGTTAACATAAGACATAGCTAGCTAACAAAACCTTTCAACATTTTCTAGTAAAAATTGGATTTCTTGTTGATGATATTCGGTCGAATCCAAACATATATTTCATTCACCGGATTAGAAAAACCGTAAGAATAAAAGAGAAAAAAACCATACCATGGGGGAATAAATACTATGCACAAAAAGATAAAAGTGACAGGCTTGCCTGGCTGTCTTGTGCAATCAGCACCATACCATCATCTGCCATGGAAATCCCTCTAGACCTACCTCATCTTCATTCTTTCTGAAGAGGGAGAGGCTGAATAACTTACAGAATTGTGGACATTGTCAGTGATACAAAATAGATTTATGCGGATCATGATTACGAGGCGACACCGAAAGTGACAGCATTCTGGAAATGACCTTTGATTTGATGAGTAGTTAGTTAACGTACGTAGTTAACTACGACTTGCCTTGTACAGTTCTTATCCCGAGTAGAAAGGACTAGTTTTTTGGTAGGAGTGAATACTAAGAGCAAATCGTTGTTGGTTCACAGATGGATTACAAAATTCAGATTCTGGTGCAGATGGTGTACACATAAATCAATAACAATATTTTCGGATAACCAAGCGGCTCGATTCTCACTGAGCAACAATGTCCAAGTTGGTACTGAACTCCCAATAAAGATCCTTTAATAGGGAACCCTAATAAACTGTCTGATCTGCATTCCTACACCCACTGGCCTGCAAGTGGTTTCATTGAACCTGCATCCATTTAGGCTTCATCGAACAAAACGCTGTATACCTATACTGCAAAATGAGTTTCAAATTTCTGAAAAATCTACCAGAATTGGCCGGTTTAAAGACACATTCTTCGAAGTATGTTAGCTGACACCAGACTTACATACAGATCGTTGTCGTCAGAATCATATGAATGTACTTGGATATGGATAGACTTGGACTGTCGGAAAACAGTGTATCTCGTCTTTATTTGGAAGCTGAAGAATCAGAGCACAAACTTCGTACATGCCCCACTACAGAACGTCTCAGACTTATAGTTTTCGACAGTTTCACTATCGCCATCTGACTTACAGATCATAAATTATTGGTTTTAGTTGAAATGCTGGATATATTCGGACAAGTCTGAAAAGCTATTAACCTTATTAAACAGTGGAGGATCGAAGAAACCCATTCTCTATTATTCTAACCTAATCTGACATAAAAGGTATGACTAATTCATGTTTTTTTTATGTTTTAGATGACTTAGTTTGTATCCGGTTAGTTAATTCATGCTTACTGTGGTTGGAGCTCTGAGTAATTCTTGTTCTTTGGTGAGAACAACCGGAACGGGAGAAACCACACCTTCTGCAGTACAATAAATTTCCTGTACACATTTCAGAGCAGCTGCACAACCCGCTGGTGCAGAATTGATATCTTCTCTCTTGTATGAAGGCACATTTTCTGGTCTCCTAGTCGTTTGAACAAATACATTATCGGTATTTGCCGAATCTCCCGTATTATCCGGGCCTTCAGGTCTCTCTACTGAAATCACGTTGTTTATGCTCGACTCTATTCCTGAAAAATATTGAATATTAGATCCGATGCCCTAGTTTTCGTCTAACACTACACTCACCCTGTTCATGCTCTGTCGTTGGATACGAAAATGTTGGATGGGGCTTGTCGTAGTGGTATCCATCGTCTATCGTGGAAGGCCTGTAAGGTTTTTTAGAGGGATAAGATGGAATAATTTGGGTGCTTGTTTCAGAAGGTCGGTCTGTTATTGATAAAGGATATGTGCATGTGCCAAGTGATGAAGGTGAAGTGCCAGGAGGGCATAGGAGTTTCAGTTGACATTCACCCGAGGACGTTCTGGTTGTACCTTCTGGGCAGATTGGAGCTTGACTCGGATTACCAGGAGTGGTTGTGGATATTGAAGATTTTTCACAGGTTCCCGAAGGACTAAGTCTAGTTCCAAAGAGGCATTGCTGTTTTAGTTCAAAAGGTCTGGTGGGTTTTGGATAATAATAACCTGTCGAAATTTCTGTAGTTGTTGGTCTCGGATATTCACATCCTATACCAAAAGCAGATGGTTTTGATCCCGGTGGACACTGTTTTGGAGTTGGTTTAGGAGTTGTCCCTGACGGATAAATACATACTCCTGTAGCAGAAAGAACTTGTCCTGGCCTACAAAATGGTTTCGGCCTTGTTGGTTCTGTTGGCTGTGTTAAATAAACACAAGTTCCTGATGGTGTTGAAACTTGTCCAGGATGACAAGGAGATTGCGGTCTTGAAGGAGAGTAAGGATATGTACACAACCCGGAAGTAGATAATACTTGACCAGGTTCACACGATGGTTTAAGGCTAGGTGTTGGTCGTAGGGTCGGATGTGTAGGATACACACAAGTACCAGAAGGGGTTAAAACTTGTCCTGAGCGGCATGAAGGTTTTGGGGAAGACGATGGGTATATGCAAATACCTGAGGGTGATATTTTTTTACCAGGTCCACAAGATGGTTTGGGGTTATGTGGTTTCGTTACCACTGGGAACGTAGGTTTGGGGAAACGAGGATATTCACATCCAAATCCAGAAAGAGAAATTATTTGTCCTGGAGCGCAAGTTGGACGAGTGTTTGTTGTTGTTTTAGGGGTAGGTTTTGGTGGATATATACAAACACCAGTAGGGGACAAAATCTGACCTATATTACAAATAGGTTCTAGTTTTGGCTTCAATGTTGTTTGTTGGGGATAGTAACAGATTCCAGTGGAAGATGGAATTTGACCTGGACCACATGCAAGTAGGGGCCGTGGAGTAGTTTGCGAAGGATATATGCAAGCACCCGACGGAATCAGTGTTTGTCCAGGACTACAGGGTCTTGTTGTAGAGGTAGATATAATAGGAAACGATGGTTTGAGAGTTTTTGGGTACTCACATCTCCGCCCGGAAAGTGTAATAATTTGATTTGACTTACAAGATGGTTTAGTTTCTGTTCGGTAAATACAAGTACCAAATGGGGAAAAAACTTGTCCAGGGTTACAAGGGGGGGGCTTTGGGGTTGTTTGTCCGGGATATATACATGCTCCTGAAGTGGTTAATATTTGTCCTGGACTACAAGACGACGGAGGAATCGTGGGAAAAACTGGTCTTGTTGTTTTACGATATTCACACGGGGATCCAGCTGGTCCAAGTTCCTGCCCAGGGGCACACGTAGGTTTGGGTTTTGAGGGGTACAAACAGGAACCAGAGGAGGACAATATTTGTCCAGGATCACATGATGATTTTAATGATGATTTTAAAGGTTTAAATGGCGAGGGCCTAGAAGTTTGATACGGCCTTTGTGTTATTATCAATGGTTGATACGGTTTAGTGGTTTGTTTTTGTGGAGTAACGAATGGATGGAATGGTTTTGAAGGTGTTATTGATGTTTGATATGGAATAGATGGTGTAACAGGTGGTTTTTGTGTTGTGACCGAAGTTTGGAATGGTTTTCCAGGTGTTACTGATGGTTGATATGGTTTTTGAGTAACAGTTGGTACATACTTCGTTGAGCTCACAGGCGGCAGATATTCTCTATTCATTGTTGATGGTGTTGTGGTAGTCAATCGTTCGCAAGTACCAAACGGCGTTTTAGTAGTTCCAGGGGGACATTTTTTCGGAGTAGGTCTCTCACAAGTACCATCTGGTTTGATAACGGTTCCGAATGGACAAGAAGGTGCCGGTTTTTCACAGCTACCATCTGGTTTTCTGATTGTGCCTTGCGGACAACGTGGTTCTGGAGTAGTTGTAGTTTCACAACTGCCGTCGGGTCTTTTGATAGTTCCAAATGGGCAAGGAATGGAAGTAGATGGCCTTTGACAGCTTCCATCTGGTTTTCTGATTGTTCCGAATGGGCAGGTTGGTTCTGGAGTAACAGATTTTCCACAAGTACCGTCAGGTTTTCTTATGGTATCAAACGGGCATGGTGTAGCTGGAGTAGATGGTCCTCTACAACTACCGTCTGGATTTCTGATCGTTCCGAATGGACAAGATGGTTTAGGAGTAGTGGGCTTTTCACAACTACCATCAGGTCTCCTGATAGTATCGTAAGGACAAGATGGAGTTGATGTGATAGGTCTTCCACAACTACCGTCTGGTTTTCTAACAGTTCCAAATGGACAGGATGGTTTCGCAGTTGTAGGGGTCTCACAACTACCGTCAGGTTTTTTATTGGCGCCGAATGGACAGGAAGGAGTGGGACGTTCACAACTTCCATCTGGTTTCCGGATAGTTCCGAAAGGACACGATGGCTCTGGTGTAGTTGGTCTTCTACAACTTCCGTCAGGATTCCTAATGGTTCCAAATGGACACGATGGGGTTGGCGTAACTGGTCTTTCACAGGTACCATCTGGTTTTCTCACTGTTCCTGATGGACAATAAGGTGCTGGAGAGGTTGGGCGGTCACAACTACCGTCTGGTTCCCTGATAGTTCCAAAAGGACAGGATGGTTTGGGGGTAGTAGAAGTTTCACAACTACCATCAGGTTTTCTGATAGTTCCAAATGGACAAGAAGGCGTTGGACGTTCACATCTTCCATCTGGTTTTCTGATCGTTCCGAATGGACAGGATGGTACTGGAGTAGTAGGTGTTACGCAACTACCATCAGGTTTTCTGATAGTTCCAAATGGACAAGAAGGAGTTGGGGTAGTAGGTCTTCCACAAGTTCCATCGGCATTTCTTATTGTTCCAAATGGGCAGGATGGAGTTGGTGTAATTGGTCTTTCACACGTACCGTCTGCTTTTTGTATCCACCCTGGGGGACAATTTATTGCTGGAGTGGTAGGTGTTTCGCAGCTACCGTCAGGCTTTCTAATAACTCCGAATGGACAGGTTGGAGCAGGTGTTGTTGGTCTGCTGCAGCTACCGTCTGGATTCCTGATTGTTTCGAAAGGACAAGATGGGGTTGGCGTAACTGGTCTTTGACAGCTACCATCTGGTTTCCTGATAGTTCCGTAAGGACAAGAAGGAGTTGGGGTAGTTGGCCTTCCACAGCTACCATCTGGATTTCTCACTGTACCAAATGGACATGATGGTACAGAAGTTATTGGTCGTTCACAATTCCCATCAGGTTGTCTTATTGTTCCGAATGGACATGCTGGTTTTGGAGTGGTTGGTCTGCTACAACTTCCGTCAGGATTTCTGATTGTTCCAATTGGACACGATGGAATAGGAGTTACGGACCTTTCGCAGTCACCATCTGGTTTTCGGATCGTTCCCGGTGGACAGTATGGTGATGGAGACGTTGGTCGTTCACAGCTGCCGTCTGGCTTTCTAATGGTTCCAAATGGACAGGTTGGTTCTGGGGTAGTAGGCCTTTCGCAAGTACCATCAGGTTTTCTGATTGTTCCGAATGGACAAGAAGGAGTTGGAGTTGTTGGTCTTTCACAACTACCATCCGGTTTTTTCACTGTTCCAGATGGGCAAGTAGGAACTGGTTTTGGACTCTCACAAGTTCCATCTGGTTTAGTAATTGTACCAAATGGACATGTTGGCCGTCGACAACTTCCGTCAGGTTGTCTCTTCGTACCAAACGGACAAGGAGGTGCAGGAGTGCTGGGCCTCACGCAAGTCCCATCTGGTTTTCTTATAGTTCCAAATGGACAGGACGGTTCAGGTGTAGTGGTTCGCTCACAACTTCCATCAGGTTTTCTCGCTGTACCATATGGACACGATGGTACTGGAGTAGTCGGTGTTTGACAACTACCGTCTGGTTTCCTGACAGTTCCAAATGGACAAGAAGGGGCTTTTGGGGTTTCACATGTCCTTGCAGAGGTCAAATATGAACCCGGTGGGCACGGTCTTATCGACGGTGTCGTTGGAATGGACGGTTCGTACGTTGAAATCGTTGGAGTTGTGTCAGCTGGAAATAAATTAATAAATCAAGGTTATTTACAGCTGTATTCTAAATACTCACGGAAAGGTGGGAGATAAGCAGGACCCTTGATTGTGGAGGAGAACCTGACATCGCTGTCGAACTGAACATCACTATAATCAGGTGTTGACTGAAATATCGAATTAGCACTGGTTGTCGTATCTCGTGTAGGTTTTGCTGTATTCGAGTTCGATCCGCTTTCTCCTGCATGGAAAACTTGTGGTTTGATGCTCAAAGAATCATCGGTGAGGACTTTTATGTGACCCGAAGAAGAACCTGTCCTTCCCGACAATTTAGAAGATCCTTTCTCAGACTTCTTTTCTACTTTATCCAAAAGATCATTAATGCTGGTAGGAAAAGCTGATTTCACAGCCGTTTTACCGAGGACAAAGTCATGAGATCCTACTGTTGAGCGAGGGAGACGGCAACATTCTTGGGTTTTAATATCGCAGTACTCAACCTGAAAATAAAAGAGAATACTTCAGTTTTGTTGTTTGATACATTTTTTTTATCTGATTCTTAAGAAAATTTTGAATATCACTAGCCACTTTCAGAGTAAGAGATCGATTAGATTTGTTTTAATGACAGTTTGGAAATCACAAATATCAGTTTGTCTTTTTTGCTTTATTGTTGAATGTCAGTACATTCTTATGACCATGAAAAATATTTGTATTTGGTTATTGTAAAGGCCACGTATACCAATACTCATAAATCAGCAATGCCTATTCCCACAGGCAGACCCCGTTTGGCTTCATGAATCTAAAAAACTTTTAAAAGATTTAGCAATGAAATTACGGAATTTTCATACATATATCTAAGTTCACCCTTTGAACTAACGTAACTAAGAGTCAAAAGTTCAGACTAGTATTCGAATAAAAAAAAACCTGTTGTGGATAACCTCAAAATATGCATTAGCTTCACCTTTCGATTTTGTTGTGGCTTACGACATGTTTAAGAGATCATTCGCATGTTTATTTATAGCGCATCGCAAAGGTAAAATACGTATTTTACCTTGGTGAATCGGTATAATTGTTAAGACAAACATTACACAATCATTAATCGTGTTTTATAGAGAAGATTTGTACATGGTAGTCAACAAACTTGTATTTCATAGTAGGTATGCAAAACCGTTTTGAGGTTTCGATATTTTTCACTTAAACAGGTAGTAAACACTATTAACTAGATACTAATATTTTTTTACGTACCTATCTCCATATCATTAGTTGGGTTTTTGTTTTTTATTTGAAATTGAAATAGTAAGAATTTTTTTCGTGTAATTCAATGTTTATATGAAAATAGCTGTTTCAGGAGGGATTTTTTTCCAGTTCGTATCTGAAAGTTACTTCTTAACATGATCTACATGTCTATGTCTAGAGTTATTTCTTTTAGAATTGATTGCTTCCTTCCTTTCTTTGATATATTCCCACATTTTTCCCATTCAATCCGTGTTAATGAATTTTGAATAGGCGTTGGAAATAATTTTTCTAATTTTCTGGAGATATCAACATTTTTCGGTTATTGTTAAACGTTGAATGAAATATGGGTATGGTCCTAGTACCACGTGAACCTAGCCACCTCTAACATAAAGTTTCTACCGATTTCTCAACCTCGATATCGATAGTAAACCAACACCCACAAATATTTCATCTCATTTCACCATTCCTGAATTCTTGAAAACACCAGTTTGGTTATAATACGGAGAAAGTGTAAAATATAGCTTGAAATTTCTTATTCGTCAAGCCTTCTCTGTATTTGGAGTTGAGGGAGATTTGCATTTCGTGCGCAGTTCAAGACTCGTGCAAATTCCATTATTTATTTGCCATGTAAATTAATAACATTGTGACCTTTATTTATTATGTATTAAAGGATCCAAACTTTCGCTGGTTCATCAGCGTTCACAGCAAGGAGACGTGCTACTTTCTTTGGATGTATGATATAATTTATCTTCGTGTATCGACGGCGACAATTTTCGATAATTTGGTTCCATCTCGAATTCAGTAATCGATAATGTCACATGAAGGTGATTTTATAATTGTCAACAAGTCATTCCAACAATAAAAGACGAAATAAAAAATGTAATTACATAATTTGATTTTTATTCAACTGGTCGATGATTGAAAACAATCTATTACACATTTATCAAATGATACTTGTTTATAAGATTTTTTATATACTCAGTTTTCTAAACCACAAATGTATTTCGCTGGACAATATAGACATTGGAAAAGTTAACACGTGTTATTTATTTGAAATAGAAACAACTTGAATCTTCGCATTCACCTTTAAAGATCATTGGTCACACGTTAGCCAGTTAGTAAGTGATTTTACACTCATCAAACAACCATTATTGTATCGTCTGAATCGTGCTAAGAATCGCACATTGGAAGTTGAGACCTTCTTAATCTTTAGTTGCCATTTTTGACTTTTAAACGTTGACAATTGATTATCGGAAAAACCTATTTTAACCTGAACTCACTTTTGAACAATTATTTTTTTCTTTTTATAAAACCTCAAATTATCTGAAATGGAATTTATTCAAATCAAATGAGATTTTTCAACATCAAGGTCATGACTAACAGAAAAACATATCCATCGATTTTGAGTGAATATCAAATAATATTTTCACTGATTTCATTACCTGAAGAGAAATATAGGTATAAGTGAAGTTTCAATATATAAACTGAATACTGATTAGTAAATTTTAAAATTATCTCAATAACCTATACCTATAACAAATCTGTGATGGTCTCGTACAAAAGACTTCAAACAATTCGATTTTGGCTAACGGAAAAAACATATTGATATCAATTTTTTCTTATAACTAAGATGCAATGTTCTATACATATCATACATATACATTAACACAGTAAGTAGGTACCTAAAAAACCCAATTCATTTCAAAAAGTAAACATTTTGTGGTGATTTTCTGAAAAGCTCCCACCAGATTATTATCTTTTTTGTATCTGGAAGTATCATTTCTCAAGACACGGAGGTTTTTTTGTGAATCAATTAAAACTTTATATTAGCCTATCACATAGATACTTGTTGGTTTACAGACGGATCAAAAACACCTTCCGGTTCCGGTGCAGGTGTTTTCAGTCGCAGACCCAAGACAGAGATATCAACATGCCTAGGAATCTATTCGACTGTTTTTCAAGCGGAAATTTACGCTATTGAATTGTTTGCGGAGATATTGGAAAAATCCAACCTTATACACAAGTCAATAAAAATATTCTCGGACAGTCAAGCGGCGTTGGAAGCTCTTGGCTCCTACCGAGTAACGTCTAAATTGGTAGCAAATTGTCAAAAACGACTCTCCTCAGTAGGAAGACTTGACAGATTGTCTCTGGTCTGGATTCCTGGCCATACTTGCCTGGAAGGCAATGATGCTGCTGACTCCCTTGCAAAGGAGGTTGCTGCAAGCATCTTCATCGGACCAGAACCTGTCATTGGCATCAATTTTAACTTTGCCAAACAAAGATTGGACACCTGGATGGCAAGAAAATTTGTGGACTTCTGACAGAATCTTCCAGGATTGGCACACTCCAAGGCGTTCATTCACCATTCGAAGCTTGATACAGTAGGGATGAACTGCGATGTCTAACAGGTTGTCTTACAGGTCACATTCATTTGAATCATCATATACAGAGCCGTACTCTTACCATCTGACCTAGAAGACCACTCACTATACGAACTAATCGGCTTCGTTAAGAAGCTGAGTTTATTTGGTCGAGTGTAAATAGGTGTGAGCCACAGTAGAGCCTTGTGGGTTGCGGTGGAGGGTCGAATAGACCCACTCACTTTGGACCTAACCTAACCTAACCTAGCCTGTCACATACCGAAATTCTATTGATTATCTTTGGGTTTGTGGTCTCATGAGACGTTTTAGTCACCCATAAGATAGACTCGCACGAGTCTTCAAAGTTTTGGGAGATACCATTTTTGGTTAATACATAATGTTGTAATCTGGTAGCACAATAGTGTTTATCTGTTTCGTGTATGTTTAAATTTCATTATAAAAGTTTGGTGTACGAATTAAATAAGAAAAATAGATTTCAGTGTGATTCAATGTTCGTTATCAAAAGAAGTTTCCTTTCCTTCTGGAAGAATCTTCTGTGCATGATGTATTCATGTATTTGTAGAGTTTTTATTGATACGTTTTTTGTTTTTTCATATATTGGAAAAATAACAATCTAATTAAAGGTTCTCCCCGTAAAATATGCTTTTTAAATTAAGTTCCATCATGAAAACTCTTGTATATTCCATATTTCCCTTACAATAAACAAAAAATATATAGAAATTGAATAGAGAATGCAAACAATGAAGGTTCAACGGAAGTTAATGTAGTTCATTTCAGAGTATCATAACCTGTAAAATTTCAGCTTAAACTACACTTGGAATAATTTTGATTCAATTGATAGTTTTTGAGTTATCGCAAAAACAATAATTTCGAATCATTCAAGAATAAATCTTATTCTTGATCAATAAATTTCTTCGAAGATTACAACTTTCAGGTTGAAAGAAAATGTAGGTAGCAACATATTTTTTTACATAATTTTCGAAATTAAACTATTTTTTCGTAATATATTTCCCCCTCCGAAGTCCAATGACTTCATCACCGGACAACAGCGTAGCATAATTATTTCTCTTATAGGAGTAAAATAAAATATATTACGTGATATTTTACTGTGTCCTTTTATTGGTTTTCAAGTGAATTTATATTATCCTGATCATTTATAGATGAAAAAATCAAAAATAACAGTGAACAAAAAATAAAAATAAGTCCCTTTCGATTTCTAGTACAGAAGTGAATATTTGTTTTTTGTTATTCAATTCGCTTCAAAAGCATTATTTTTTATTGTGATATTAAAATGGATACTATATTCCCTGAAGCAAATAAAATTGTTTGATTTTCATCTGTGAGTTTGTAAATATCGAAATGCAATCGAAGAATGACATGAAAACTGAAGAGTGATGAAATACCAGTCACAAGGACTAATAGTGTTTCTTATCCAAGCTGACTTACTGAAAATACCTATAAATTATTCAATTCATTGGCAGATATTCCTGATTGATAATTGTTATTAACTACTCAGTTATTCATATATTTTATATTACTTGACCCTTTCATCCACTCTTGCATCAGATAATTGCTGAAAAATATTTCAATGAAGCTCATACGATCATAATCATAACTTGTTTGACCTCTTGCCTTGCTTGTTACATAACTTCTGATTTATTCGATGAATAAATATTCAAAATATTCTTCCAAAATTTCCTATTGCCTGATTTCAAGAATTCAAGAATTCTTTTGTGAAGAATGTTAAGTTCACCCGTATAGAATATTAATTATGGAAACTGAATGAATGAATTGATTGAATGTGAGAACATGGAGCTATGTCTCCAAATCCATAATCAGTCAAATTATTCAATTTTGGAGGTCGCTCTCATCATAATAAA